GTCTTATGGGTCAGCCCCTGAAGATCATTAGGGCTCCAACCTCAAATGTCAATTTCACTTTGTGTCTCTCCAGACAAGGGGGGAATTTGATGATGGTCATCAGAAACCTGATGGGATACAGTGAGCACAAACTCTTTAAAGAGCTCCAAAATCAGTCAGCCCTAGCTATTTTGTGAGCAGATGTCTGGTGGTATTATGGGAAACAATTATTCGGGGCTTTACTGGCAAATTGGAGTGGCACCTGTGCTTTGGTGCAATTGGCCATCCCTTTCACCCTGGTATTCTATCAACCAACAACTACAGGAAACAGGCATATAGCCAAGAGAAGTGTAGTTACTCCCTAAGGGGTGCCAAACAAATTCAAAACAAGAAACCAAATAGCTGCAGGGTTTGAATCTGTATTATTCTGGTGGTCAACCATTAACAAAAATGTGGACTGGATTAACTACATCTATTATAATTTTCAATAACCTCATATGGATGAGAAAGCTGGACAGTGAATAAGGAAGATCGTAGAAGAATTGATGCCTTTGAGTTGTGGTGTTGGAGGAGAGTACTGAAAGTGCCGTGGACTGCCAAAAGAACTAATAGATCTGTTTTGGAAGAAGTGCAGCCAGAGTGCTCCTTGGAGGCCAAGATGGACACATTGTCCGGAGAGAACAGTAGCTGGAGAAGGATGTCATGCTGGGTAAGGTGGAGGGTCAGAGAAAAAGAGGAAGACCCCCAACGAGATGGATCAGCCAGGTGTCATCATTGATGGCGTCAAGTGTGGCAGCGGTAGTGACGTTGGCCCAGGATCGGATATTGTTTCGTTCTGCTGTGCATGGGGTCGCTATGAGTCGATTCTGACTCGATGGCACCTGACAACAACAACAATTATAATCAACAAAGATTTGTAAACTATACCAGGGGTGCTATAAAAGGAACAGCAGAACAATTAGGACCTACTAGCAAAATGGCCTGGGAAAACAAGTTAGCCCTAGATAAGATATTAGCAGAAAAAGAAGTATGTGTTATCATCAAAGTGCAATGTTGTACTTTCATTCTCAATAACGCAGCTCCTGATGGTACCATTACTGAAGCATTACAAGGGTTGACCACCTTTGCTAATGAACTCGCTGATAATTCAGGCATAGATGACCCCTTTTCTAATATCATGGAACAATAATTCGGGAAATGGAAATGGCTTATGATTTTGGTCCTCACCTCTTTAATTTTTGTATTTGGCGTATTAACACTAATGGGATGCTGTATTATACCCTGTATGAGAGGATTAGTACTAAAACTCATAGAAACAGCCCTATCCAAACAACCACCACCCCTATACCAAAAATAACCTTTTCACCTAGAAGCATATGAACACCAAAGTCAACATCTCCTTGCAAAATTTAAAGAATGAAGAAGTCTAAAAAGAAAAAAATATATATAATCCTGTTTATTGTATTCAGGTGACTTCCCCCCCCCCCACTTTTACTTCAAAAAAAAGGAGGGGGGGAATTGTGTGTGTGTGTGTGTGTGTGAAATATATAAGTATTTATTATAATCCTATTTATTGTATTCGGGTAACCTTTTTTTTTTTTTTTTTAATTTCCGGATCTCATTTTATTTGGTTACTTGCTGACTTGAGTAAATAATTTATGATCCTTCTCGTTTTCTTTTCCTAAAGTACGATTGCGCGCCCTAAAAACTTGAACTAGCCAACTGGGTAAGGGAAAAGATTGTGCTGTCAAAACCCTAGCCAATGGGGTGAGACACAGCCTTGAGATGCCTATGCGCATGCACCCTCTTGCAGGAGAAAATTTTGCTTTGCCAAGATAATTTAGTCTCATCGTGTGTCTTTTATGCGACATAGGGATTCATTTCTAACAGTTCTACACGGAGCTGTTTAGACACCCCCCACCCCCATTCCCACCCCCCCCCCACCACCCCGCACACACCTGGGGAAGTGGAGAGGGGAGCCTGGGGGGCGGGGCGGGACTTGTGCGCCCTGAGGCGACCACGTGCAGTACCCTACTGGAGCCGATACCCGGGATAGTGCGCTGAGACCCTGGAAATGTTATGACCTCATGTGCTGTGGCTGTTACGCAGCCTGCAACGTGGATCCTGTTGTATGCCCGTGCCATGTGCGCACGGGCATACAATCCAGTGGTCTCGCAGACAACTCCTATCCCTTAACACGAGTGACTCAGGTGGGCGGCCAAGCCCCTCCAACCACCTGGCAGCGCATGCGCCCGCCCGCCGCATAGCATTATGGGAGCCGTAATCCAGTCCGGGTAGGCACGCGTTGTCTTCGCTCTGAATCCAGAGGAGAGGCCGTCTAGCGCAGGCCACGGTGCTCAGGTACTCGGCCTGCATGGCCACTGGAACTCACGGGGAGGAAGTGCGGTAGGGAACGCAAGCCAGTGGTTTGTGGGCGCGGGGCATCTGAGGTGTGCCGACTCGGGGTCGCAGGGTGTGTGTGGGTGTGCATAGGCAAGAATGCTTTGGGCATTCTTGTTTGTACCAACTTGCCCCTCATTCACCCCAGCACCCACTTGGGACTCCGACCTCCGCCACCAAAGTTCTCCGCTGGCGCTTTCAGTCCTTGCATGCTCGGAATCGTGACGGTGTGGCGGGTTTCGCTTGCTTTCTAACCGCTTAGCTGGGGCTGTGAGCGCCACCCGGCGTCTTCTTACCCCCACCCCCATCACCCCTTGACTCGAGTCCCTCCTCCCAGACTATGGAGCCGCGTGCAGCAGCTGGGTATCCTCAGAGCTCACCTCTGCCTTCCCATTGTTCTCCGTGGTCTGGGACCTTGTAGGAACCAACTCCTTGGACCGGCTTCTGGTCTTGTCTGAGCTTGCTGCACTGAGGCAGCATCTAAAAAGTCGCCTGTGGACCTATTCTATACGGATGCACCTCTTTGGGGATTTCACTGTAATTACCGAAGAGGACTTAAAATACTTATTAATGAAAATTGAAGACTAAAGCCTTTAGTATGGATTGTACCTCAATGTAAAGAAAACAAAAATCCTCACAAATGGTCCAATAAATAACATCATGATAAATGGAGAAAAGATTAAAGTGGTCGATGACTTCATTTTGCTTGGATCCACAATCAACACTCTTGGAAGCATCAGTCAAGAAATCAAACAACGTTTGGCATTAGGCAAACCTGCACAGACCTGTTTAAAGTGTTGAAGAGGAAAGATGCCAGTTTGAGGACTAAGGTGCACCTGACCCAAGCCATGTTATTTTCAGTGACTCCATATGCACGTGAAAGTTGTACAGTGAATAAAGACCATAGGAGAATTGGTGTATTTGAGTTATGGTGTTGGAGGAGATTTAAAAATACAATGGATTGTAAGAAGAGCAAACAAATCTGTATTGGAAGAAGCGTAGCCAGAATGCTCCTTAGAAGCCAGGATGGTGGGACTTCATATCTCATGCTTTAGACATGTGATCAGGAGGGACCAGTCCCTGGAGAAGGACATCATGCTTGGAAAAGTGGAGGGTCACCAAAAACAGGAAGACCCCCAATGAGATGGATTAGCACAGTGGCAGCAGCAGTGGACTCAGTGTAACAATTGTGTGGATGGTACAGGACTGGGCAGTGTTTTGTTCTGTTGGGCATAGGGTCACTAATAGTCGGAACTGACTTGAACAACACCTAACAACAACAAACCTGGTTCATTTTTTCCCTTTAGTCACAAAAATAGATATGAAGAAATGAGGCAGAAACTGGTCCTGCCTTCCATTGAGGGCCAAACCTCCTGACCTGGGTTGGTCCACATGCCTCAACAGCAGATATGTGCAGGGAGGGAGGGTCACTTGCTTGGCCCAGAGCCTTGGCTGACACGACACTTTTCCGTGTCGTGTATACTCTGATGTAGTCACCCAGAAAGGATCTCTATATCTGTGCTTGACCTCAGCAGAAACTAGTCTTACTCAGCACAGAGAAACAGTGATAGAAATGACCTACTGTGAAGAACTTAGACTCGGGAGACCTGTCCTCCCTGCCTTGAGCAAAGGTGGTGAGCAGCTGTTTGAGAGGTGCTCTTCACTCTGCACCCAGCTAGCGAAGACATTGACAGAATCAGATGGACAGACAGATGAACATATAGATGGAGGGCAGCCCATGTGACCTAGTCTGACTCATGTTACTGCTTGGTACTGCCAGCATCTTCCTGGCTCACATGGGGAGTCCACCTGGGGATACCCCACCCCAGGGGACACTGTCTGGCTCCACCCAGTCTAAGATCAGGGTTCAGTGTTGCCCAGGGAAGAAGACTGACTCAGATGTGCTACTTGGAACATTCGCTCTTCTTCTACCTTTCCTCTGAGAGTACACCTCCTGGGTTCACCTCTAACAGCCTGCTTTTTCCTTGCTCTTCTCACCCCATCACCAGCTTTCTCCTGCTCCTGTCATCCATGCAGAGGCCCCAGGGCTGATGATGGGAATTCTGCCCCAGGGACCCCAGGTGGGCTCTCAGTTGGCGGTCACAACTTTGTGTGGGCATGCCCTAGCAGATGAGCCTAACTTCCAAGCAGGGCCTCTTCCCAGGACTAGTGGTGGTGCTGGGTCCCAGCTGCACGTGGACACACCCAGGAGCTGGGCCAAGCAGGCTGTCCCAAGACCCTGGGTAGTGAGGGAGGAGGCCACCTTGCCTGAAAGAAACAGGCCTGAGACTGATTGCTAAATGTTTAGTTTTAATGAATTTAAATTTTATAACCCACGTGGTAGTTGGGGGGCTCAATCCCTTGGGGGTGGTGACAGCCTCTGGGGTTGTCCTAGTCTCGTCTTGTGTCATTACTAACTTCAGGGGTGTGTTTCCAACCAAGGCCCTCCCAGCGGAGCCCTCCTAAGCCAACTCTGGCCCCTCTCTCTGAAGGACAGAAGGGAAGCCAGCTCAGCAGCAGTCAGCTCTGGAGGAAGGAGGAGGTGTGCAGGCTGTTGCAGAGCTGCCTAACTCCTTCTCTTTTTCCAGGTTGAGTGTCCCCTTCTGTCGCCTGTCAGCAGCATGGTGCCTTCCAACTCTGTGGTGGCAGTGGCAAAGCAGGAGCACCCCCTAGACCCCGGCAAGGGCCGGGAGCTCAAATCCTGGCGGGGCCTGGTGTTCTACCTCTGCTTCTATGGCTTCATGGCGCAGATGCGGCCTGGGGAGAGTTTCATTACACCCTACCTCCTGGGGGACAAGAATTTCACCAAGGAACAGGCAAGTGATCATCTGGAGTGGGTACCCTGGGTGGGGGCTGCTCTCCAGCATCATTGAGGTGAGCGGGTGGGTGTCTTCTCCCCCATTTGGCACAAGAGCAGCTGCAGTGAGCAAAGTCAAGTGGCCTCAAGATTACTGGACTGACAGGATCCTGCACCCCATGCCCCGTCAGACTGAGGGGCCGAATTTGAGAATAGTAGGTCCAGCTGAGGGATCCAGGGTCTGCCTTAGGGTCTTTCTGAGGAAGAGAGCTAGATATGGGGCGTACTCGTACTTGCTCCCCCTGCCCCTTCACCTCCCACATCTCCCTTTCCTTCCCCAATTCTAACTCTACCTCCCCCATCTTTTCCTTCCCCACCCTTTACTCTCTTACCCTCCCCTCCCCTGCACATGTGTACTTCCTTAGGTATGACATGGGAGGAGGCCAGGCAGGCCCTGACCCTTGGAGCCTGTCCACATTCCAGGCCCCATGTCAAACCTATTAGATACTTGCTTCCAGCTGAGACTTAAGCAGCTGCTTGCTAAGGAGATTATCGCAGGAATGTTCTTTCTGCTGAATTTTGATGAGTCAGTGTGTACTGACCACAAGACCCTGGGCAGGACTTGTGTCCAGCAGTTCACCCAGACATAGAGTAGGGGTAACAACAAGCTTTTTCAAACTTGTATTGTTGGTGACAGAACCCCCTGTTCACACTGGGAGTCGTCTCAGCCCAGCTTCCCCACTGCTTTGTCCTTCCTTGTCTTACCTGAGAACCCCTTACCTTACTCCATGGTGCTGCCTGCTCTGAGCACTGGCTTTGCAGAAGCTGCAGGTGGGTCTAAACGATGCAGGGTGACCACTGTCCCCTGTACCCCACATCCCTGAGCCTTCTGGGGATGCCTTTGACCAGACCCCTGTGTTTTGTTAGCAAAGTCCCTTCTGGATTTGGTCCCACCCTACTCAGCCTCTGGAGTTGTTTAAATAAATGTAGTTGCCATGAAAATGGGGTGTGTCCCTTCAGAACACCCCCTTAAAAAGTGGAAGTCATGCCATGTGACTGTCCCCACATCTGCTTTTGATGCCATCCCGGTGGTGGCATGTCCCTGGTAGGACTAGAGCCTATGTCTGCCGCCCCAGCATGCCTCTGGATTCCTGTGTCCCTTGACAAAGGCACCAGCCATTCCACACGTCCCTGTCCCTGTGACTGATCGCTTCTGTCCATTTAACACCTTTCTGCTCTGAGAAGAAGGCCGTATCCACAACCGAGGCCATTGTAGGAATGAACAATTCTTGTTAAAGTGACAAAATGACAAATGTTTTTATAGCAAAAAGTTATAAATCCCATCTGCTGCCTGCCTAGGTCACCCATTCAACTTGGCTCTGAGACACCATTCAGGGCAACTTAGTCTGTATGCTTTCTGGGTAGCAGCAGAGCTCATGAACTGGAGTGGGCTCAGCCCTCAGCAGCACTGGTCAGACCTCCTCCCTGCTGGCTATGGGAGTGCCCCACCTACCCACCAGGTACTGAGGAGCCATGTCCTCGCTGGGCATTTGTATGGTAGATGTAAGTCAACGATGTCTGATGATTCATAAAGGCAGTTTGATTCGTAGTCTGGGGAGGTCTAACTCTGTGGGTCCAAAAAGCTGGTACATTGGTGTAATCTGTGCCCTCTTGTGGGATTGGGCCTAGGTACATTTACCCTGTTCTTTACTGGTGGGTAGTGAACGTCCTTCCAGGCTCTCTCCCTGCAGTGACCGTCCATCTCCTTGGCATGTGTGTTGCTCGGGACACCTGTAGGCAGAGGGGCGCTTGGCCTGACATCCCTCTCACACCTGTCACACTTGCGCTGACTCACTCTTGCTCCCCTCCTGCTGGCACTGACTACTGTCTGACTTGGGCCCTGCTGACCTGGTAGATGAGAAAGGCATCTCTCTATTGTTAGAGGTCCCATTTGTTTCCCTGCCTCCTGCTTTGGCCACTCTCTGCCTGGCCAGGTTTGTCCTTGGGGATTGCCTGCCCAGAGCATTCATGTCTTCCTGTCTGACTGCGTGCCTCCCTCACTGCATGGAAGAAATACCATCCTCTCCCCTGACCACACACGTATCTTCAGGATTGGCAGAAGTGGGTCACAAACGTGTCTGGCTCCCTGGACTCTCTGCCCACTCTGTTTGTGGCATCCTTTTTGCTTATGGAGATCTAGTTTCTAACTCAGCCATGTTTCATTCACTGATTTCTGCTTTGACCTTTGAGCCCCTCTTGGGGGTGTGCAGGTTGTGTTCTGCATGCTCTTTATGAGAAGTGAGGTGCAGCTTACCCCCACCTCCTGTAAAGAGTCCTTGCACTGAGGCCCCTATAGAGCGATGTTACCTTCTTCCTGGCCTGGGTAGGGCTGTTCCAGGCTCTGCTCAGCCCTGGGGGTCTTGTGTGTGTCCCACCATCCATTCCCATGCAGCTTTCTCTGTCCGTTGCCCCCCAGTCCCATGTGTCCTTCTGTGTGCATTCTCATGAGTCTGTTTGAGTGTCTGCTCCCCTGTAGGCTCAGTACTAGTTTCATCATGATCCAAACTTCACAGCTTCTTCAGTCGAGTCCTGGTCTTAGGGAGATGCTCCTCCCAGGCACCCTCAGGACCTCCCAGGCCCATGATCTGACCTAAGTCCTGGCCCTGTTCTTCTGGGCACTAAGGTGCCATCACATGTTCAGTGGGGGCAGTTGCCCCTTGGTGATCAGCACTCAGGGTGTAGGGTTACCTGTGACCTGGTCTGGGCTGGCTGTACTTCCCACCCCCACCTGTCCTTTGACTCACCCTCCCACCTTTCCCAATCTTAGCTGTCTTCACTCTCCCC